TCTTATTTTCAGGGAAACACGATAAACCTACAACAAAACAAAATAGCAAAAGACTGAAAGTGATTGTCTCTGGGAAGGAAAAATGGGGGGAAGGATGCAAGGCCTTGCTAATTTTTGCAATAAGGCTCGTAGAATGATTTGGCTCTTTAAACTATGTGCATATATAACTGACGAAAAAGTAAAACAGTTTCTTTAAAAAGTGCCATCTTTTATTATGATTTATAATATTACTTCATTATAGAGCATTTTGTTTTTCCTAGATTTTTTTATCCATTTCATTTTTCTATTATTGACAAGAGAATAGTGTGCCTTTAATATCTTCAAGTTTTCCAGTCTGCTCGATTAAACTTCGTACTGCATGGGGTTTTTCTTTCTTATTTTATTTTTTTATTTTTTCCCGGCAGGAACCCTCTATCGCCCTGTTCCAATCTGGCCTCTGCTTACTTTCTAGGCTTGTTGCCCGCTTGTCATCACCTTTCACTGTTGCCAAATTGACTCCAATTCTTTCTGGATCCCATGTCTTTTGTTTTGCTTGAGTACATCCTCAAGTAACTTCCCAAGAATGATGCATATGGTGTGTAAATTTCCAATTCCTAGTTGTATCACTTAGATACTGTGTAGGCCATCAATGCGTACCTTCAGTGTTGCGCGGACATTTCTATTTTGATGCATTGTTGGAAAACAGCTTATCACAGTGTTGCTACAAAGACTGAAAACTACCAGTTGCTTCCATTCAAAAGCCCAGTCACCTTCTCTAGAGGGAAACTGGCAACAAAAGAGAGACCCCCAGGTTCCTGGAAACAGAGTCTTTATTAGGAGAGAAATTTTGTTGAGTTCTGCACATTATTTCTGACTGAGGAGTAACTTTCTTCTTCAGGTCAAAGTCACCAGAAAAGGTGAGAGAAAGGTTATTTCTTACATAGGCTCTCCCAGGAATAGATTAAACCCAGATACCAGCTTTCATGACCTGAGTGTAAAGCAGGTTATACATGGCCACATGAAGGGACTTCTAAAGAACATGAGTGTAAAACAGTTTTAGCATCATCATTTAAAAAGGTATTTGGTAGCCTCTGTGACCACTCATGACTAGACAGGGTACTGAGTAAGTTAGAAAGGTTCAGTTTCGACTCACTAGCCAAAGGAAGCCCAAGTGGGTCTAATCAGCCCCACAAAGGACATTTTCACAGCGATGAATCTGGAGGACAGATGGCATGTCATTCGGTCCTACAGATTCCGTGCACACACAGCTCACTCCTATCTTTGTGCTTTGTGTATTATCTCATTTACTCTATCAGCAAGTCCCACTCTTCCTACAAGACACAGTGATGAAGTTCTTTCTGACAGATTCTCTTCTCCTAAACCTCCCTGCACATAATCGACATGCTCTTTTGGCATTTATGGTTTTCCTCAGGTACTCTATAACCCTGCGACGGCTGAAGTATTTTATAGATGGTCTCATGTAGGTTTCTGAGCCTTCCTGGGTGGATGTTGTATTAAAGATGGTAGGTTTTGAGAAACTCCACCACTTGCAGATTTTTAAAGGAAATGACCCCTGGTGCTCTGAAGGAGGCAGTTAATTGGAAGTTCCAACTGCCTGTCCTTTAGATTTTCTAAGCAGGCTTCTATACTTGGCAGCAGCTGATTGGCTGTTCCCAACATTAAGTGGACTACGAAACCAGTAAACTGAAAACGCAGCACCTGATTTGGGGTCTTCTTTCTCAGCCTATGTGGGAGAAAGCTTGGGAAAATACAAAACAAAAAAAAGAAAAGAAAAAAAGTGCAGCCAGTTGGGCATCCCTTAAGGAGGGACAGTAAGAAATAAGGACCCTGCTATAGTATGAATTTGCAATATATAACGATTCCATGCTAATGGAGTAACTGCACGTGAACCAGACAGTGGAGGAGGCAGGCTCCTTCTTTGGGGAGCGATTCCCAGTATGTATTTGGTGCCAGAGAAGGAAAAATGTGACACATCTGACAATTATGTAAAACTCATAATAATTAAGTGGGAATGAGAACTGGGGGTAATTTAACTGCTTAAGAGGGCCAGTAGGGGAGTGTGATGATGATAAAAAGTGGCTTCCGTGTATAAAGGCATGGCTTCAGAGCTAGTAGTTATTATGTGCTTATTCTGTGTAAGTAGCTAGTAGATGTTTTAAACATAATCTATTTAATCCCCACAACAGCCCTGTGAAGTGCTCTCTTGGCTTTATAGAATAAAAAATGAGCTCGAAGAAGTTAAGCAACTTTCCAAAGATTAAGCATCCCAACGGGCAGAGCCGATCTTAGGCCAAAGTCTATGCCGTTTCTCTACCCATCACATAGTGGTGGGAAGAAGGGTCTACCAACCTGAGACAAGTTGTAGTACTGAAGACTGAAACTACAGAGCGCAATGGTCATAACACCAACATGGGTCAGTAAGCGGCAGCCTCCACCACTAAATTGAGAACAACACACGGCTCGGAGGAGGGGAAGTGGGGGCGGGAGAAGAATGGGGCTAATGGCATGTGGGGGGCAGAATGATGGTGGACAAATTGAGCCGTTTGGGTGAGAGTTCACATCTAATCATATACTTAATATCTTGACGTTAGTAAAATTTTCATTTTGTGGTGGCTTTGGATGCTGACTAGCTCTATTGAATCTGGAGAATTTGTCTCTAGGCCAACTTTGTCACTAGCTAGTGACAGACTTTGAATATGTTACTTAATGCCTCATATATCAACTCTAAAGTGCAGTCCATCTCAAAATTACACACACACACACACACACACATATGTGGGCAGAATTGCTAGAATAGGGACATGCAGCTCCTAGCAAGGCACAAAGGTCATCCCTTAGTTGTCACTCCCTTGAATTACGCCCTCTCAGGTTTCCTTTCCTTAATGAAAGCATTACAAAGCCTCACAAAGTAAGTTTTTCGATCTTTAGTCAAAGATAGATACAACCAAATCCACGCGAATGAAATTAGAGATCATTTTATATTTATTTGAGACAACCGAGTTAGAATAACTGTGAGGATAACTTGATAACGGGTCCTCCAGATGGGTCCCGGAGCATAACACGTTTCAGTCAGTTCAGTGATGAGGAAACACTGGTGGGTTCTCATCATGGTGTTGTGTCACCGAATTTGAATGTGTAGCAAAAGAATACAAGATTTTGTCCCGGTAAGGGCATTATTTTTAAAGTTGGGCTGTGGTAATGTCTCTGTTTATTGTGAAATTCATCCTTACACCCAAAATATAATTGAGCACAGCAGCATGCTGATATAATGCTGATGGACCATTTACTTCCACTGACCTTGTGAAAACAAGTTGTTCTCTCAAATGACTAAAAGAACACACTTCAAAAAAATTCTCCCCTAACCATGTGATAAGGATGGTGAATTTAAAAATTCAACAAATGTGTGAGCTTTCTATTGCCAATTAAATGTGTTGAGTCAAGCAGACCAATGTTGAGGGAGGAAAAACATCCGTTCAATTTAATTTACTCAGCCGTTTGGTGGATGCTGGCAAAAGACAGAGGACTCCTCAGCCAGTGACAAGGACTTGATCTCTCGCACCAGAGCCGCAGCCAGGGTGAGGCTCACTGTGTCTCTCCACACCTCCGAGTCCCGTGGGGTAGGTGTCTATTATGGATGCTGCCTTAATTTACGAGGGCCACTGTAGCAAAACCCCATAGACAAGGGGGACTTCAACAATAGAAATTTATAGTCTCCCAGTTCTGGAAGCTCCAAGTCTGAGATGAAGGTATTGGCAGGGCTGGTTCCTTCTGGGGGACATGTGGGAAAAATCTGTTCCTGGCCTCTCTCCTTGGCTTGTAGATGGCTGTCTTCCCCCATCTTCACATCATCTTCCTAGTGTCCTAGTGCATGTCCAAACTTCCCCTTCTTAGAAGAACGGGTTAGGGTCCACCCTAATGACCTCATTTTAATGTAATTGCTTCTCTACGAACCCTATCTCTAAATAAAACCGCATTCTCAGGTACTGGGGTTTAAGACGTCAACATAGGATTTTCTTTTTTTCTTTTTTTTTTTTAAAGATGTTATTGGGAAATTGGGGAAGGGGAACAGCCAAGTTGTTATCCTTCAATCTTAGGTGTGGAGGGCACAGCTAGCTTAATTCCAAGTCCAGTCGCCATCCAGTCGGCAGTTTGTGGTGGCTCAGCTCAAGGTGCCGTGTTCACTCTTAGTTGTGGGTGAATGTAGCCACCATCCCATGCGGAAGTCGAACCAGCAACCTTGTTGTTAGGAGCACGTGCTCTCACCAGCTAAGCCATCCTACCACCTGTTGGCAGCTCAACAGCAGCTCAGCTTGGGCGCAGCTCACTGGCCCATGTGGGAATCAAACCGGCGACCCTGTTATTCAGAGCTTGTGTTCTTAACCAACTGTGCCACTCGGCCAGCCCAACATAGGAACAGTTCAGCCCATAACAGATGCTTGCTTACCCACATAGTGGAGAGGAGAGGAACAGTGAGCTTGGGGAATTCACCATGGAAACAAGCCTGCTCTTTTCCAGAGGAGAAAACCTCATCACCCATCAAGGTTTCTCACTGCAGACAGAACTGGGTAGAGTGGTCATGGCCTTGCATTCTTGGTACACAGCAAGAATGGGCCAGGAAGCTCAGAATCCATGTGGATTGCCTCTCTCAAGAGCAATGCAGTCGAAATCTCAGCCTCAGGTACAGCTGTACTGTCCTCAGCATCTTTATCAAGTTGGGTTCTGTTTGACACAGCTGTAGAATTCCTCACACCTCTACATTGAAGAAAAACCTGAGTCACAGCTCTTTAGTTTGCACGAATTATATTTACAAATATCTTTAATACCAATTAGGGAGTAAATGTAGAGCTGAGCCAACTGTGATGTTGTCAGCTTTTGTCGCACAATGAGAAATATTTTTAAAGGAAGAGATGATTTTTTTACTATGTAGTCGTTTATACCAAAGGAACTCAAAAATATGTTCAGCGTCATTGAATGAAAATGATTCTTATTTCTTTCTACAGATGGAACTGCTACTTTTACATGTTGTAATCCTCCTTTTGAACATGTTTGATTTTTCATCAGGAATAATATATAATAAAGGTAAGTCTCAGACTCTCTTACTCTCTCTTTTCTTCTAAGGAGTCCTCCTTTATATCCATTCCTAGCTAACAGTTCAAACATTTTTTTTTTTAGTACTTCTTTTACTTATCTTCCAGCTTCCCCACATATTATCTATGGTACTTGGTTCAGAGGTTTCTAATAATATCATTGTAGATCTATTGTTAAGTTGTGTACATAGAGACTTTTGTTCTAGTATTTTACTACCTACAAGTCATAGAGTCTCTTAATGTTTAAGGAGAATTTTATATTTGCATAACTTTATTTGAATAGATTTTTACATTTTTCCTCCATGAATAGTTGTATGTAGTATGAATTATAAGCTGAATTTTAAGGCTAGTAGATGGAGACTGAAGAGAATTTTCTGAAAGTTATGTAGTTGACCCTTAAACAATGTGGGAGTTGGGGGTGCTGACCCGCACACAGTACAAAAATCTGGGTATAAATTTTGACTCTCTTGAAATTTAACTACAGTGGTCCCTCGGTATCTACAGGGGATTGGTTCCAGTACCCACCACAGATACGAAAATCTGTGCATGCTCAAGTCCCTTATGCAGACAGTGGGCCCTCCCTATCTGCAGAGTTCCAACAACAGACCAAAAATTCAATTTTTTTAATTATTATTTTTTATTGTGAAATACACATTTTTTAGAATTAGTTTCAGCTGTACAAGACAGTGTAATAGTTATACTTTTTACCCCTCGAGGTGCCAACCCCACTCCCTCAATCCACCGCCCCACTTCCCCCCCCAATATCATACATATCTATTACAATTCCCTTGACTCCACTCCCATATTATACTCCATGTCCCGTGACTATATATATATATATATATATATATATACATATATGTATTCACTTATAGATGACATTCAATATTATACAACATCAGCTTCAGAAAAATTCAATTTTTGACCCTCAGTCGGTTGAATCCCTGGATGCAAAACCTAGGAACATAGAGGGCCGACTGTATGTTTGTTAAAAAAAAAATCCATGTATAAGTGGACCATGCAGCTCAAACACTTGTTTAAGGGTCAGCTCTCCATGGATTAAATTAGCCAATAGGACTTGTATGGTGGGAAAACTGTGCAAAAGGAATAAGACAAATCCACCTTCATTGGGGTAGATGGTTTAGATTCGGTAGCATCCTGGACTGGATATACTAGAACATAGTAGATGCTCGATAAAAAAGATTGTTGACTGCAATGAAACAGAACTATTTCCAGCTGCCTACCTTCAAAATGCTTTCTCCACAGCACACTTTTTTAAGTATTTAATTTCATGTTCATTGTTCAAATGTCACCTTTAATTTGAAAGGACCAATTAAGTCCTGATTTACTTTTTTGAAAATAGAGCTGCCAGGCAACTTATTTCTGACAGCCATTTGCCATCTCAGAAAGATCAGAAAATTGAGACCCCTTTCTTCATTTTTCAGCAATGCAAAAAATCTCAAACTCATCTTTAAATTGGACTATTTTTTAAAAGTAATTTTCCCTCAACACTCATGTTTGCTACCCAAGGTGTTCGTAGTCACCCTCCATTCTCACCTATGATGTCCTTTAGTATTTTTGCTGCTTCTGGCTTCAACTTCAGCGTGTCACAGAAAACCAGAGCTGGACAGTAGTTAAAGCTGTAAGAACAGACATTAGTCAGGAACTGTTGCAACTGGGAAAAAGGGACCTCGGTGTAGACCTGGGCTCAATTCCAAATACAGCATGGAGAGGTGTGGACGTTCAGCCAAGGAGCCGGTTGGGGTAGGGAACGGGTGGATTGAAAATTACTAAGAGAGGACATCTAAGGTAGGAGGGATTCTTGCTAACCTGACCAAGCAGGATTCTTGCAAACATGGTTATGCAGATATAGCAAGGATGGGGCCTAGTTGAGAAGAGAGCTTGGAGTGTCTGACTGAAGTTTTGTCAAGGACAGAGTATGTCAGTCACTGGAAATGTATAACTGTGAACAGAGCAGTGAATGAATTTCATAAATGGCATGTCTCTACCTTTGTCCCAGAGTGATGTTCTTATTCTAGTCAGAGCAGACATCCCATCAGGGATTGCACAGTTTCTCTTTGTATCATGATTCTTAGGAAAGTCACACATTGTTAAGAATGTAACTTCTCTGGCTTACCTTTCCTTTAGAAGCTCACACCAAAAAAATGTAGTTCTTTTTGTATTACATTATTAAAACAGAATCTAGAAAACACTCTAATCTGAGAATTTCTAGGCAAAGGTAAGAGGGTTGGGAATTGCTTCTGTCTCTCACCTCTACCTCTTCTGTTTTTCCCTGCCCCTCTCTTTCACAACCCAAGCTCAAAAGGTCCTGTTGACTCAAGGAAATAACTCACAAAATGCTACCAAAGTGCAGAGGAAAAATGGACTAGTCTTGCTGAGACAAGTGTGAGAAAAAGCTTCTAGTTGAACCGGATCTTAAAGTGTGTTAAAATTCAAGGCAGAGAATGGAAACAGTGAGAACCCCAGGGGTGCTGGAGTGTAGGTTGTATGCAGGGAAGTCTGAAAGCGGGGCTCGGGGGTTCACAAATTGTCTCACAGGATAGAGAGGGGATGGCCTGAGAGACAGAAACATCTTGCTTCCACCTGACTTACTCTTGTGAGTTGGGTAACCTTTGAGCAATAACTTAATATTTCTGAGTATTGGTCCCATCCTCTTTAAAGAGGAGACAGTAATGCGTGTGGCACAAGGTGACATATAAACCCAGAGTCTGGCTCGAAGTGTGTTACTCAAAAGAGTTAATTTCCTTCTGCTTAGCTTCTTTTCCTTTAAGGAGTTTATTCATGAGGCGATGGAGTGACAGTAACAACTTTTAAACAGAGGAGTGATTTGGGCTTTAGAATCAAATCATAGCTTTAAAAAATAGATCTGGCAGCGTTGGCAGGTGTGGGCAAAGTAAATGTATGGGTTGAAGAGAACTTTGAAAACTGTTTAACATTATAACCTCAAAACATATTTTAGCTGCATTAGTGATACTTGCATTAATATGTTTCAGAACAGCATTGAACTGTTATGTTGTACAAATAAGATTAATAACATGCAATCATAAAGGAAACTTATTTTCACCTCCCACTCCTTGAGGCTGGTTCCTCCTTTATCCTTGGATAAAAGTTTGGGTATATACACACACACACACACACACACACACACACACACACACACACATACACGCACAGAGAGAGAGAGAGAGAGAGAGAGAGAGAGCCAAAAAAATGAAAAATGTATAAATATTTTAAGAAAGGAAAACTGTATTAAAATTGTAATACTCAATATTTACCGATAACAAAAGATGGACACAAGTCACGTTTGACTCCTGCAATTACAAGAGGTGCTCAAATGGCTACCATCAGCGTCCAGACACTTCTGATTACGGCGAACTACTGCTTGAGCAACGTTGACCAGTGTCCGCTTGTATACATTTTTTGGCACCCCCGGTATATATTACAATTACAATTAGGTAGTTCAAACAGTTCTCCGGTGATTTCAAATGACAAAGCACAGATCTGCATTCTAATGAAAATACCCAAGCCCATGTAACAGTCATAACTGAACTCTTATTTTCTCATTGAAACTTCTTGCCTTCTTCCCGATTGGGCCTGAGCAGGTGGGAGACCTGTAGACGGGGAAGAAGGGTTACAGTCACTTTCCTCTTTCTCCGCCTGGAGTTCAGGTTCCTTGTTACCCTCTCGCTCACTCTGAGTTTGACCCTTCTTGCTGCAAGGCTGTCGGCAGGGAGGGAGAGGGTGTGTGGGGGTGAGGGGGGTACAGTGGTCGTTCTTACCCGATTCTAAGGTGACCGTCTGACATCAGCCCTCTCTGGATCCACGGGATGTGTACATTTGAGCCTCACTCTGGACTCTTGCCCAGGTCCTTCAGCACCCCCTCCCTTCCGTTACATTACGGGGAGTCTCTTATCTACAGTTCTAACAAGAACAAAGTATTCTCTATTCCGACTGGCCATAGATTCCTTTTCCAGCTCTTAAAATCCAGCTGTGCCTTCAAATTCTTTCTGCTGAGACCCCACTGCCACCCAGAGAGACCTTTGAGAAGAGGACCCTAGGGGACTCAGGGCTAGTTATTCCTCCCAGTGGCCCACGGGAAGCACTCCTACAGCGTTCGCTCCAGAAGATTGGGACTCCTAGCACAGCCACCCAGCAGAGCACTGCCTTCCCATCATCCTCTCCACTGAATCATCTCTTGCCTTTCTCTAAGCAGGTGTCTGAGCGTTTACCCCAAATTAGAGGAATACATGTTACGTTGTTGAGGGGTCCCATCAAAGCCATTTTCCTCAGACTCGGGATAAGGAGAAGTGATAGAGGGTTCCGGGCAGATGGTGGGGGAGGAGGCCTCAGGAATCTGTCTCCCCACCTAGACGGTAATTGCACGGGCAGCATCTGTCTGATGTAACCGGTTGTCTTGGCACTCTGAAATCTAGTGAAGGCTTGCTGCTTCCAGGGGAAGGCTTGGACAGCCAATTGCAGTTCATTTTAGTCATTATCAACTCTTATCACAGTAGCAGCTACTACGCATCCCCCGTCCTCACCCCCATGGCAGGCAGCTGTGCATGTGTTCCTGGAGCAGTGGCACACAGCTTGCAGAAGCCACAGTGGGCACAAAGGACCCTGTCTTCCAAATACTGGGGATCTGGGCTCTGATTGCCGCTTCTGATCAACAGGTGCGGACAAAGATGCAAGCAACCATAGTCACTGGCTCCCAGCCCCATTGTTGCAAGAGCCTCCCCCTCTGGCTGAAATGATTTAGGGGGCACTTCAAGGGCCAGCACCCTTTTGCCCCCACCTTCATTTTTCACTTTTGTTTTTCCTTTCTGGGAGCCAGACCTTAAAGACCAGCACATTCAAAAAAAAAAAAAACCACCAAACAAACTGCATATATGGGGGCAAATTAGAAAGTGACCGTGCATACCCAGGGAAGCACGCAGGATCAGAAAAGTCCTGAGAAGAGCTTACTGAACTTTACACCTCAGCCCGATCCTGAGTCAAGAACTGTTATTTGTCCACCTCTGAAATATCTGCACCAGGGCCTAGCATGCGGCGTATTTTGTGTTAGTGTTCAGTCAAACCTTCCTTTTCAATGTCTTGATTTTGTATCTTTAAAATGAAAAATGGTGGCAAATTTGAATTTTATCAAGAGTCTACAATTATCATTTATATTTTTAAAAATACTTTATCAGTTTTAAAAATGTGGTTCTTTTAATGGAAATTCTCCTATCAGTGACCTAAGACATATATATATATATATATATATTTTGTATTATTTAGGTGATATGGAGCAACACTTCGCATGTGCTAGCAAAGGGTTCCCCAAAAAGAATGAAATAATCAAGCTGTATCTTACCGCAAGTGACTTGGTAAGGTCCAGTAACAACGTTACAACCTTTTACATTCCGTTTAACTCCACGTGTAAAACCAGTAGCTTTGTATTCTTTTCCAATACTTTCTACTGAGCTCAGATTTGGGGGGGGGGTGAAATTCTATATAAATCATAATCCTTTCTATTCCATTCCACTTGGATTACATAAAATATTTCATTTAGCCATTGAATGCCCTGGCTGGTTTTGCCTTTGCTTTTTTTTTTTTAAATGCCTCCTCCTCCCTTTTTAAAAGATTACCTGTAACCATCTTCACTGTTTATGGATCCCACTTGTCCTTTTGAAGTTTGATAGATGTAGCTTGTTAGAGGAAGAAAGGTATCTCACGCGACCTTGAGGAAGCATCTTTCTTTTTTATAACAAGTACCACATTGCAGTTGTCGTTTTGGGTGAGGGGTGATTTGATTCCTTTGATTCAAATAATGGCAGACTTTTAAAAAACACACCAAAGTAAAATAAAATGTACTAGTAAGATAGTCATGCAGCAAATGCTAACAGAAACGTAAGTTAACTAAATAATGTACAGATCATCTAAAAATTTATGATAAATATAATAAAAACAAAGAAACACCCCATGAGGACAAATATATTTATCCCCAAATCAGCTTTGACTTAGTTCCCAGTTCCTTTTTGATATGCCAAACATATATTTGACTTTTTATTTTCAACTATTGTGAAGTACATGCCCTTTGAGTCAAAAATGCCTTTCCTATTTGTCATTATATATTATTGGGAAAGAATGGGCTTTGGAAGAAGACAAGAACTACAGATCTGGGGTCAAATCTTGGTCATTCTGTGTATGGTCTGTGTGCCCTGGGGCAGGTTACCTAACCTCTCTGATCCTCAGTTTGGTCCTCTTAAAAAGGGAATTATAACCTACTTTTCGGATAGTTGTGATGTAGTAGGTCTAGAGGTGATATTAGTAGAAATAATAGCTAACATTTATAAAGTGTTTATGTGTGTCAGGCATTTTCCAAAGCGTTTTATGTTCATTATGACATTTAATCCTCTGTAAGTACTCCAGGGAAGCACTGACCCTGTCCTCTTAAGTTCACTAGCTTGGGCCTATGAAATAAACTGACAAAAGACAGATTAACAGGAGGAAAAAACAGAGTTTATTCACACAGGCAATGTGTAAACCCATGGGAGAACTCAGTGATGAGTAGCTCAAAGGAGTGGTTAGAATTTGGGGCTTATACACCATCTTCACAAAGGGCAGTAAATGGTGGAGAGTGACAAGACAAAGGAAAAGGTGTTTGGGTCCATCTTCCTGCTAATCCTCATTACAATGTAAGTTCCACAAATGCAGGGATTTTGGTCTGTTCCATTCCCTTCTGTTTCCCCAGTACCTGTATCACTGCCTCATTTGTAGAAATGGCTCAGTAAATATTTTGGAATGAATATGTTTCCCCATGATATTTTATTTTATTTTATTTTATATTTATTTTAAAGATTTTATTGGGAAATTGGGGGAGGGAAACAGCATTGGGGAACCAGGGAAGAGGAACAGACAAGTTGCTGTCCTTTTATTCTTCAGTCTAGTGGTGGAGGACGTTGCTTCACGGGCCCATGTTGGTATTATCATTGTGCTCTTCCTGGGTGAGGCAGTCCCTCACCGGCCATTGGACGGCCGCTCACGGTGGCTCATTAAAACTCATGCCAGCTGCCGGCCAACCCCACTGCAGGCTATGCCGTCGTGGGCGACTCACGGCAGCCCAGCTCCAGGTGAAGCTGTTGTTCACCATCTTAGCTGTAGAGGGAGCAGTGTCACTGGCCCTCATGTGGGATCCGAACCGGGGCCCTGCTGCTCAGAGCTGGTGTCCCAAGCCAAGGCCTAACCAATGCGCCACTCGGCCGGCCCTGTTTCCCCATTTTATAGATAAGGAAACTAAAGCTTAGGTAGGTCACTTACCTACTAAGAGAAGTAACTACTTAACTACTAAGAGAAGTAAATAAGTTAAAACTCTTAGCATCTATCTCATGTTGGGTTTTGGTAAAATCCACCATTTGTGATTGCTACATTTTCATATTTCTTCTCCAAACTGGGAAATACCCAAATAGCCAATAAAATGCAGTAAAAATAAGTTTTGCTTTGTACATTTGTTTCTTTTTTATTAGACACAAAATAATAATTTTAATAAAACAGGGATTTCTACATGTGATAACACGTGGCTTTGATTCTATGTTTATTAAGTGTAATACTTTTATGACCATTTCTATGACAGAAAAGATTATTATAAAGATGAATTGAAACCGATCATGACACTAGCATAATAGGTTACTGAGTTCTGAAAGTGTACTTTTCAGAATAGACTTTTTTCCTAGTTAGAGACTGGAATTACTAAAGATAGAGGAATTTAGAAGTATCAACTTTCCATAGATTTCTCCTCACTTTGAAATTGATGTAATAGGCTTCTTTCCATTGAATTCTCATTACTTGTTTTTTATTTTTTTTCCCCCCCCTCTTTCCTAAAGGAAATCCAGTGTGTTTTCTTATCTGAAAGTAAGGTTACTTCAAGGGAATTTCTAAATGTGTTCACATCAGGAGGACTTGCTCCTAGTTTGGGAATCATAAATAGTACATATACGGGCGTCTTCCACTTTAATTTAACTTTGGTAATTACATTTTATTTTATTCTTTTTTTAAAAAAAAATAGCTAGTCCAGTAATATTACCTCTGTATATGTTTTAAACCCAGTAATACAGTGTTATGCTTTTTGCTTTAAATAGTCATATATGTTTTAAGGAAATTAAGAGAAGAAAAGAAAAATGCATTTTTTTTAACCATTTACCTACATATGTACTATTACACTCTGCATTCTTTTCTTTAGCTGTAAGTTGCCAACTGGTGTCACATCCTTTCAGCTTGAAGAACTTTCAGCATTTCTTATAGTGCAGGTCTGCTGGCAACAAATCTCTGCAAGTTTTTCTCCTTGCAAATGCTTTTATTTCACCTGCATTTTTTGGTAACAGCTTCATTAAGACATAATTTGCATGCTATACAATTCACCTATTTAAAGTATACAATTCAATGGTTTTTAGTATATTCATAGAGTGTGCAACCCCTAGTCTTCTAAAAAGTTTCTAGTTTTACCATTTACATTTAGGTTATTGATTGATTTTATTTTTGTGTGTGGTGTGAGGTCAGGGTCCACATTCATGCTTTTACATGTGGATATCCAGCTGTCCTTGCACCATTTGTTGAAATTAATATTATTCTTGTTTAGTCACCTTTGTTGAAATCAATTGACTGTAAATGTGATGGTTTACTTCTGGATTCTCAATTATACTGCATTGCTCTATACATCTATTCTTACACCAATACTATGTTGCCTTGATGTGAGTTTTGAAATTGTAGTGAGTTGCTTTGTAGTGAGTTTAGAAATCAGGAAGTATGAGTCTTCCAACTTTGTTCTTTTTTTTCCAAGATTGTTTTTTGCTAGTCTCCATATGAATTTCGCTAGTTTTCATATGAATTTTAGGATAAGCTTGTCAATTTTTACAAAGAAGCCAGCTGGAATTCTAATAGGAGTTGTGTTGAATCTGTAGATCAATTTGAGGATTATCACCATTTTAATAATATTAAGTCTTCCACTCTATGAATATGGAATGTCTTTCTATTTATTTAGATTTTCTTCAATTTCTTTTTGTTTTATTTTTATTTTATTTTATTTTTAATTAGTTTCAGGTGTACAACACAGTGCAGTAGTTATACGTTTTACCCCTCAAAGTGACAACCCCTCTCCCCCAATCCGCCATCTTCAATTTCTTGCAACAACATTTTGTATTTTTCAGGGTCTAAGTGACACACTTTTTTGTTAAATTTATTCCTAATATTTTACTCTTTTTGATGCTATTGTAAAGGAACACACTTTCTTAATGGCATTTTCAGAGTATAGAAATGAAATTAATTTTTGTGTAAGGATCTTGTATCCTGCAACCTTGCTGATCTCATTTATAAATTCTAATAGGCTTTTAGTGGTCATCTTACTTTTTGAATAATAGTTTTGTTAGATGTAGAATTTCTAGTTGACTTCATTTCCTTCTAGCATTTTGAATTTGTCATTTTGCATTTTAAATATGCCACCTGACACTCTTGTTTCTGAATGAGAAGTCATCTGTTAATTTTATTATTTTCCCCTAGATGTAATATGTCACTTTTCTCTGGATGCTTTTAAGACTGTCTATTTGTATTTGCCCTAATTGGGTTTCTCTGGGCTTCTTGGATTGTAGTTTGCCAAATTTGTAAAGCCTTTAGCCATGATTTCTCCCCCAAAAATGTTCTGTCCCTTTCTCTGTCTCTTTTCCTGCCTGGGACTCTACTTATGCACATTTTGGAAACTGTGATATTGTTCCATAGATATCTAAGTCTCTGTTCATTTTTCTTTAATCATTCTGCCCCTCCTTTCAGAGTGGAGAATTTCAATTGCTATATCTCTAAGTTTACCTGTTCTTTCTTTTGCCATCTCCAGCCTGCTATCGAACTCATCTAGTAAATATTTTATTTCAATTATTTTACTTTTCAGCCTCATTATTTCCATTTGATTTTATTGTTATATTTTTTCATATATGTGCTGGGATTCCCTACCTATTCCCTCATTAGGACATTTTCCTTAAATCTGTGCACATATTTGTAACAGCTGCTTTGAAGTCTTTATCTATTATCTGGACTCACTCAGTTTATCATCTGCTATTTCCCCCCCAAATATCAGTTACACATTCCTGTTTCTTTTCATATCTTACCATTTTTGGTTGAAAACTGGACATTAAAGATAATAAGTTGTAGCACCTCTGGATTCTGTTATGTTCTTATGAGAATTTGCTGCTGTTCTTGGTAGTGGTGGTCTAAAAGGTTTTTACTTGACTTGACAGAAGCTACAAACTGTCTTACCTATGGTTTCAGCAGCTGATATCTCTGCTCAGTTCTTTTAGCTTCCACTGCTGATTTTTTACATGGCTTCTATGGATCTCCTCTGCACCTGTGTAGCCCAAGGATTTGGGAAGAGTTTATACTTAACTCTTAGGTCACCATTCTGGCAGTTCCTTTGCTCTTGGGATTGTCCTCTTAAATTCTCAAATTCTCTGTCAACACCAAGCTCTGTCCTCTGATACATCAAGACAGTAATGCTTCAGTTTGTGATACCTGAGCTTGACTGTACAGTATTCTACTTTGTGGCTATAGTATTATACATTACTGATGAACATTTTAGTTATTTTCAGTCTTCTACTATTACAAATAATGATGAAAAATATTCTTGAACACTTTTTTTTCACACATATGTGAGTAAACATAGGGTAAATTTCTAAGAATAAAATTACTGGGTAAAATGTATATGCATTGGATGTTTTGTTTTAAAAAAATAAGATGAAATATGCCAAAATAAGTGTTGGTATTAACATTTAAAACACTGTTTTATGATGTTCTTCTTTATTCAAGTTCAGTGACCGGGTTTACTGGTTGATTAATATTCCCAGAGAAAACATTACAAAAAATACAGGTAAGTGTGATCTGAATTAATTCTTTTACTCATGGATCTGGATTTCCAAATTTAGCAAATAAAAATATTTATTATATTGAAAAATTATTTGCTATTCCATGTCAATGTCTCATATAGCATTTGGGACATACTTAGTAAAAATTATTTGTGGTTAATCTGAAATTCAAATTTTATTGAGGTGTCTGTATTTTATCTGGCAATTCTATTATAGATAGATTGTTCTGACATATATAACATATTATTCTTTATTTAAAGTAATCTTATTTTCTAGAACTTGAAAATTTGAGTATTGAGAAATTCAGTTACCAATTAATTTTACTGGAACTGAATCATTAATCTTAAAATGTTATAGGTTATAATATGTACTATATTCTTTTACTATGGAATCTACTATTAAGTGTTATGTGGTAGTCTAGCTTTGTATGCTACTGTAAATATTCAGATGGAAAGAGGAGGAAAGTCCAGTATTGGGCTAGTGGACTGACCTAATAGATCTTCAGTCATGAGATATATTCCCATAGTTTAAAGGTGATGAAGGGTATTCTCATATTATTTTTAATATGGTAAGTACAAGGAACAGAAACCAACCTGGCTGCACTAAGGAAAAAGAAGAAATTTGTTTTTTTCCATGGAACCCAAAGATAAAAATGCAACCAGGTTATAGGGAAGAATTAGAAATAAGAAATGGAAAAAAAACCAACAGGAACCCAGGGAAAACTTTCACCCTTTCTCTCTTTTCTGTATTTCCTGTTAAACTACATTTATTTTTCTTTCTTTGCAGACTAGCTCCCTAAAGCTGCATCACTGCCATCAAATTTTTATATGTATTTCCTAGGGGCCGGCCCAATTTCAAATTCCCAGGATATCTTGACATAGTGTTAATCCAGTGTCCACTTGTGTATCAGTCAAATATAGCAGGTGATGAGGGATTGGGGCAGAGGGACAGGGGCATCATACGGGCCAACCCCTCGAGGTATGGCAGCAATGAAAAGACATACAAAATTGTGTGTCCTACAAAGGATGGGGGAAGGTTAGACTAAGGCAGAAATGATAGAAAAAAACTATATAAAGAAGTGTCAAAGATAAAAGCCTACAAAAGAAACCTCAGTGCCATAACATCTGATATGGATGACATAACTGTGTTACCCTTTATTCATCTCAATTATTTTAAATCAAGCTATTGGAAATTTTAGTGACTTTTTTCAAGGAATTCATCCTAAAAATCGTACTCCTTTTTTTTTAATCTAACTTAACTCTCTTCAGTATAATGATTGATTGTTCTAGCTGCTTGACTTAATACTGACGTTAGTTTCACAACTGAAGAAATGAAGATCACTTGTTATTGTGACTTCTTCTACTTACAATCTCTAATTTCAGAAATGCAATGATTCTAAGATCACCTAGACAGGAGCAAAAGTGATCTGAGAACTTAAATATTTTATGGAAAGAGACCAAATGAACTCTGTCTATCCTAACACAACTCCCTGGACTGAGTAAAAAAAAATACATATATACAGAGGATGCCCAAAAAATGTATACATGTTTTAAGAAAGGAAAAAGACTGTATTAAAATTGTAATAATGTATAGTAATAACGAAAGATGAATACATGTGTATACATTTTTTTGGCACCCCAGTATTTGAAGTCATAATGTAATAGGAGAGGATGTCTAATATTACTAATATGCAGAAATCAGGAGAAAAAAATCAGGGCTAAGGAGGCCATTCTTACCCCTGCTCATTCACTTTTTCCTCCTTAATCATTACCTTATTTATTGCCATGCCAAGAATTTGAGTATTATGTATTAAAATCTTAGGAAAGGTAATTTAGGCAACACCAACAACAAAGTAGCCATTATAGTAGTAGTAGAACTAGCAGGTAACATTTATTGAATTCTTATTCTATTTCAGCACTACTCTAAACACTTCACTTTAATAACTCATTTATTCCTCACTATATGATAGGAACTAGTATTATCTCCATTTTAAAATGACTTAACTGAGGCCCAAAGATCTATATGGATATTTAGTGATAGCTAGAAAGTCATGAAGGCAGTTTGAAGTTTGAACTGCATATACTGTTGAAAGTAAAAAGAGATCCTATTTAAAGTACAGTTTATAATTTGTTCTTTTTTTCATTTTAAAATAAGGTATAATTTATATCCAGTAAAATATACTTTTTAGCATCCAGTTCTATAAGTTTTCACAAATGAATACAATTGTATAATCACTACAATGAAGACATACAGCAGTTCCATCACCCAACAAAATTACCCCACCTGCTGTCAACCTCGCCCTGTCTCCCAGGCCCAGCAACCACAGATCTGCTTTCTGTTTCTATCATTTTGCCTATTTCAGAATCTATAAGTGGAATCGTGGAATATGTAGCCTTTTGAGTCTGGCTTCTTTCACTTAGCATAATTCATTTGAGATTCATCTATGTTGTAGAGTCTTCTATTTTCTTCCATTGTATGAATATACCATAGTTAATTTTGTTGAAGGGCATTTAGATTTTTTCAGTTTGGGCAAATATGAATAAAGCTGCTTCAAGCATACTCATACAGGTTTTCATGTGAAAATAAATTTTTGTTGCATTTGGCTGCATAACAAATAGTAAGATTAATGTATTATACGGTAAGTGTAAGTTTAACTTTATGAGAAATTGTCAATTATTTTCCAAAGTGCCTGCATCATTTTTGCATTCTCATCCCCAAGTTACCTGGATTCATGCAAGTAATTAGTATATGTGAATGCGTGTATACACACACACACACACACACACACACACACACACACACGGCATGACAATTAAGTTTGCGAACTTGTCATGGTGCACTTACATTGGCAGCACTGTACAAACACTCAGTAAGGTTTCATAACCTTTGTATATCAGTGTCTCACAGCTGTGTTCATGTCAACGTGTGGCGGTGTCTTGCTGAGTGGTGTTCATTATTGTTCTGTGTTTCTGTGTGCCGTCGCGAGAATGTCTGAGCTTGAATTAGAGCAATGAACAAACATTAAATTTCTTGTTAAACTTGGCAAGAGTGGAAGTGAAATCAGGGACATGTTAGTGCAAGTTTAAGGGGATAATGACATGAAAAAAACAGCAGTGTACAAAGGGAGTAAACATTTTTCTGAGGGGAGAGAATGCGTCACTGATGAAGAGAGGTCAGGGTGGCCAGGAACGACCAGAACTGATGAAAACGTTGCAAAAATTCATCAAATTTCATGTCAAAATCATTGGCTGACTGTGAGAAGCATAGCCGACCAAGGAAATATCGATAGAGAAACAGGAAAATCTTAATTGAAAATCTTGGCATGAGAAAGGTGTGTGCAAAAATGGTCCCGAAGCAGCTCACTGATGAACAAAAGCAAAGGAGAGTTGAAGTTTGCCAAAACCTTTTGGAGAGTTAAGACGATGTTTTGGGCCGTGTTATCACTGGTGATGAAACATGGCTGTACCAATACGATGCTGAGACAAAGCATCAAAGTGGACAATGGAAGTCAGCCAATTCTCCATGACAAAAATTTTCCATTAGTCCAAATCAAGAGTAAAAACGCTATTGCTAATCTTTTTTGATATCAGAGGGATTATTCATTATGAATTTGTACCAATTGGAGAGTTAACCAAGTTTAGTATTTGGAAGTGCTGAAAAGCCTGCGTGAAAAAGTTAAACGAAAATAACCTGACCTTTTCACCAACAATTCATGGCTCTTGCATCATGACAATGCACCAGCTCACATGGCACTGTCTGTGAGGGAGTTTTTAGCCAGTAAACAAATAACTGTATTGGAACACCCTCCTTACTCACCTGATCTGGCCCCCAATGACTTCTTTCTTTACCTGAAGATAAAGGAAATATTGAAAGGAACACATTTTGATAACATTCAGGACATCAAGCGTAATACAATGACAGCTCTGATGGCCATTCCAGAAAAAGAGTTCCAAAATTGCTTTGAAGGGTGGAATAGACGCTGGTATTGGTGCATAGCTTCTCAAGGGGAGTACTTCGAAGATGACCATATGATATTCAGCAATGAGGTATGTAGCACTTTTTCTAGGATGAGTTTGTGAACTTAATTGTTAATTGTCAGACCCCGTATGTGTGTGTGTGTGTGTGTGTGTGTGTGTGTGTGTAAAATTTTAGCCATTCTAATAGGTGTCTAGTGGCATTTAATCATGGTTTTAGTTTTCAATTTTTTAATAACTGACATTGGGCATCTTTTTTATGTTTATTTGCAATTTGGTGAATTACCTATTCAAACCTTTTGCAAGTTTGTTACATATTCTGGATACAAGTCCTTTATGAGATATACGATTTGCGAACATTTTCCCCCAGCCTATGGCTTGTGTTTTTCATCTCTTAAGAATGTTTCTTAAAGATCAGAGTTTTTAATTTTGATGAAGTCTAATTTATCAATTTTTTTCTTTTATGGCCTATTATTTTGGCATCATAGCTAAGAAATCTTTGCCTAGTCTAAGTTTATGTTCTAGGTTTTATATTTAGGTTAATGACTCAATTTGAGTTAATTTTTGTACATTACATGGACTGAGGTTAATTTTGGAAGAATATGGATATGCAATTATTCCAGCACTATTGTTGTAAAAACTATTTTGTTTCCATTGAATTGCAATTTCTGGGCTCTCCATCTTTTCACCAATACCACAGTGTTTCTTGATTACTTTAGCTTTATAAAATATTCAAGTAGCATAGAGAAAATAAACATTCAAGCACTGGAATAACTATGGTGCTATTTTTCAAAGTGGGACGCCATCACCTTGGTCACTTATCTGATGGATAAGTCTTCTTTTCCCAAAGGAACAAGGATTTTAACAGCCAGCTAGTCCTTTTTCTATAACTCTGAATGCAGTTCTGTTGTTCTCACTGAGTTCTCAATTAGCATGTGAAACACACATGAGGGCACATGAGCTACCTGAATATGTTGGTCTGGAGTTTTGGCATTGAACTCTTCAACTTCCAGGTCTACCAGCGAACACCGTTCACACAGCTTCTTGGCTGTTTCCAAAACACCTTTCACCACCTCAGCCACATTACAGGTGAGATTAATACTTCCTATGTGTTTCTAATGAGCAGGATGAGTATCACCACGAAACAGAGTGTGTGGTGGTTAATAAGCATGTGCAAAGAAATGCAGGTGGTATAAAACTAATCCAGAACATACTGGATGTTACTCCCAATGAAAGTATCAAACCCGTACTTTTTCTTATATTCAATCACTCCGTGTACCATTATAAGAACTTCATCGTTATTTCTATTTCTGAATTTAATCAAGACTTGCAAAAAGCCATCCAAGACCCGTGGATCCTCAGGACTCTTATTTTCATGTTTTGAAAGTTTAATAAAGTTATACATATTCCAACTTTTATCCAGTCCCATTAAAGACCAGTTAAGTTATCCATCAGATGATTGACTTCTCATTATGCTGGCCAGTTGTGCAGGAAGCTCCTTTTGTAGAAACATATATGATGTTTCTCACACCATTATTTCCCCCAAAGTCCAGGAACTGCTTGATAGAGAGCAGTGACAGCAAGAAGCACAAATAGCACTTGATCTACTTGGGTACCAGGTGCGTCAACAGGCACGGAAGAGTCATATCCTTGCTGAGGTGGTGCATAAATCCACCTGGAGGCCTGGGTGGACATGAGAGCCTGTGAAGACAGCTGTTTGGGTCAGGCATATTCTTTGTGAGTGCACCCAGGTTATTTTAGCCTTGGCCTCAGTCTTGGCCTGTGGGTGCAACTGCTGCAGCTGCTTGCAGGCTGAGTTCACCATCCGTAGCTTCCCCAGATCCTACACATCCTTTTACTTTTCACTCATCTGTGCTTTTATATTTAAAGTGTGTTTCTTAGAATTAGCATATAGTTCAGTCTTGCTTTTTACATCTAATCTGGAAATCTGACTTTTAATTGGTGTTTTTAGACCATTTACATTTAATGAAATTATTGGTATGGTCGTATTGAAATCTACCATCAGGTTGTTTTTATTTGTTCCTTCTCTTCTGTTTTATTTTTCTCTTCTCTTTCTGTCTTGATTCATATTAATTATTTTTATGATTCCATTTTTCTCCACTATTGATGTATTATTCATGCTTTAAAATTTTCTTAGTGTTGGCCCTAGGATTTACACTATATATTTTAATTAATCACAGTCTACTTTCAGATAATATTATACCATTTCACTTGAAGTACATAATTTGCTTTTTTTGTGTGTTTTTGTTTTTGTTTTTAGCTGAGCTATCCTGCTACCTGTTGGCAGCTCAGCGGCTGCTCAGCTCGGGCTGGACTTGAACCGCTGTTGCTCAGACCTCAAAGTCTTGAGCGAGCTCTTAACCAACTGAGCCACTCGGCCAGCCCTCATAATTTGCTTTTTACCAAGCCATAACTGCTCTTAGAGAAAAATTATGATTTAACATTATTATCTGGATTCGTTGCTATGGTGTAAGATCACTTCATAATTCTTTTTCCTTATTGTATCACCAAAATATTTGTGGGAAGAACATAGGAAACCTTATCTATAGGTGCAATCAAAATAATTGGCAAATGAAAGGTAATCGTTGTTGGTAATGTTCATATAGTCTTAAATTTCACCAACATGACATACTAAAGAATAGTTGATTATTTGTCTTTTGTTCTCAAACAGATATCGCAGCTGTAGAAGAATGGTTAGTAAGAATCACGTTACACCATGGATTACATATTTATACCACTGAAGGAACACTGTTGGATAGTGTTCGAGGTACATGACAACAGACAAAAGTAAAATGGAATTCATAATTTTCTTTCAACAAACCTTGTAAGCTACTTACTATATGCCCGACTCTGTGCTAAATACTAGAGATAACTAAATAAAAGGGACCATGAACCTTGAGGGGCTCACAATTTGATGAGGCAAACAAAGAATTGTGGGTGATTGTTAATAGAAGTCTGCTATAGAAATATGAAAATGTTTTTTTCTGTAGCCACGTTGTAGGGCATAATAAACAATGGCTTTATAAAGTTAATTTTTGCCTCTTCTATGAAGATGTTATGGAAGATACTGTTTATTGCATCAGTTTTCTTTATGAGGACAATCAGCAAAAATTCTTGTTCAGTCACAGTGAAAACATCTGTATTTTGTCATGAAAAAATTGGTTGTTTTGAGGTTATCAACATTGAGAAATATAACTGACTCTCTTTTCCAATTGTGTGATTTATAGCCCAATTTTTGAATCATCAACAGCACTATAGTATAAAAAAACTTGAAAAAAAATCCTCAGTTTCGCATCTTATATTTATCTTCACTTTCTTCCTTTTTACTTGTAGTTTTTTACTTCCATTTTGATATAGTGCTGTGTAGACTCCAGAGTGAAAATAAATATATTTTATAGAAAGAATCACCTGGGTAGCTTTTAGAGAAGTAATGATGTCTCGACCCCACCATGCACCAATTAAAATCTGATCTATATAAATAAGGCCAGGCATCTGTAGTTAAATAAAGATCTTCCCAGGTGATTCTGATGTGCAGAGGACTGAGAACTGCTCTAGAGAAAAAAGACATGATGTGCCAAGAGACACGTTCAAATCTATGTAATGCAGCATTGTTTAGAATAAGAGAAAACAGAAAACAACATAAATATCCACCAATAGGGGAAAAGACAAACACGTGTTATGGTATTCTGTTAACATAAAGGTAACAGACCCATATATATCATCAAGAACAGAACTCAAAAACATTGAGTGAAAAATCAAGTTTCAGAGTAGAAGAACATTTATCTAAAGTTCAGGAAATGCATAAAGCAATGCTATCTGTTGCATTCAGGGAAAATTTGGGAATGGGACTATGGAATGGGGGCCAAGGTGTCTTCAATCATATCTACATTGTTTTATTTCTCTAACCAAAATTAACCTATCTGAAGCAAAAAATGATAAAATGCTAGGCTTTCTTATTTTTTCATAGTGTCCAAAGTTAAAAAAAAAAGTTAATTATTCAATAGTCACTGCAAGCTTTTGAGACTCTGATATTTTGATGTCCTGTGCTACTTGTAAGTACTAAAATAACAATATAACATTATCTCAATTTTTAAAAACAATCTGAATTATTTACAAATCAAGATGTATTCAGAATATCATATACTGCATTAAAATTGTAACGTATACTTTTTTAGGATGTACGGAGGTACTGTGGCAGCAAAGAGCTTCACAAATTAGTAGTTCTTAAAGGTTCCACAGGTAGAAATGAGATTCCTCTGTTAGAAGAACTAAACGGCAGCTTGTGTTGTGGAAGTAGAGTAAATGACAGGCAGATTGGTGTAGAATGAGTTTGGAGAAGCTGGCAGAGATGATGATAAAAGTGTGGATTTTATTCTACGCATAATGAAAGGCCGCTGGAGTGTTGAGCAGGAGAGTGATAAATTCTGATGTATGTGCTTTATAAAAAGATCACTTTGGCTCCTTGCTGTGTAGAGAATTGACTCTTGGGGATGGATGGCAAGAACAGAATAAAGGAACTTGTTTGGCAGCTGTTATCATAGCCCACTCAAGAGATGGTCTGGAACTCCTTGGGCTGTGGGATTAGCAGTGCAGGTGATGAGAAGGAAGCGTCTTCAGGAGACATTTTGGAAGTAGAGCTGATATGACTTCCTGGTGGGCTTGCAGGGTGAGGGAAGAACATATCAAGGATGATTAGATTTCCTACCTGGGCAATCAAGTGGATGATGGCATCATTTACTGAAATGCTGAAGACATGGGGAGAAAACATTAGGGAGTGTCAATCAAGGTTAAGGTAGGTTAACAGTTGGAAATCTTTATTCACTACTGACTCAGAGATACTTAAACATGTCCCTACTTCCTGATCTCTGGTCCACACCCCAGACCAGTTCAGTAAAACTGTGACCAGTCACCTTTGTGTTGGTCGCTTTCCTGTCTCCTTTCTAGCTTCTCAGTAGCAGTCAAGACTTTTAATCACTTTCTCATTCTTAAAACATTTAAAATACAACATCTGACTTTAAGGAGATTGTACCTAGGAGGTGTTTTCAATGCAATGCCATCATGTCCCAGATGCAAGTTCAAATCTCCCTGTCCTCTAAGATTTGGTTATTAATTGCCTGCACACACATACAACGCCCTGGAAAGTCAGCTGCCTTGCCCCAAATTTCTTTAACTTTTGGAGCGGATTAGTTTGGTTATAAATTGTGTCTGTTTCTTTTCTTGGCTATCCCTACACTATGTCAACCCAGATGGAAATGTAGCTCCTTTCCTGGCTTTGCACAAAGTAAAAAATATATCACATATCGTCTTTGGTTTTGTAGCAGATTTTATGAAAAGTTTGGGGAGAAGGAGGAATTTACATAAACAGCTAAAGAATTGATTACTAGATAGCTCTGTTCTTAAAAGTCCTTTAACTGTTTTTGAAATTCAGACAGCAGTATTCTGTCAAATTTCCCTGGCTTACTTTTTGTACTCTCTTTTTCTCATTTTTTCAGGAGAAAAGAAATCCTCCCATCTTCTTATGCATTAAAATTTGACTTTATCCAGCCCAACCCTTTGCATAGCCAAGAATAGATTACTGGGTTGAAGATGTCCGACCTCTGATGGGTTTTTCCTGTTAGTTTTACTCCAACTCCTTTATATCTTCCAGAAATCCCTCTAAGTGTCTTGGCCACTAATGGTAACTGTCCCCGTTCTCCACTGTTACTTCGGATTTATTTTCATTATTATCTACTGCTGTTTAGATGGGATTGGGGGAAGGGAACAGAAAGTAAATGTGTGGGCTCTCGAGGCAGAAATTGGGCTCTAAATTATAAATGTGCATATCCTGTGATCTAGTAATTCCATTTCTAGGGATAGAGGCTGCGGTCAATTATATTTTACGAAGATGGCCGAAGCAGTATATCCCATCCCACATGCTCTTCTGCAGTGTGACCTTGCCAGCGCCCATCAAGGACAATTAGACTTCATTCCTCCTACCCTGGAAAATAGAACTGACCTATTTTTAACCCATGGAGAGTGAAGTAATACCCCCTTTGGAACAATGGAATAGTTCCTTTAAAACCCTTTAAGGAAAGCAGTAATGTTCCATTTTCAAGAGTGCTGCCACAATTTAAACACCTACACTTGATTTCCACAGAACCAATTCTTCAGTGGAATCTTGGGACTAAAATGACAAAAAACAGCGTCAGTAAATTATATCCACACGTGGTAGCTCTAAAAGTGACAAAATGCCCCTGCGCCAATGATGTAGCATTGCTTGGTTTCATTTTGAATTCGACACTTGATGGTAAGTTTAATGGCTTTCTGGAATGTTAGAGGTGGTATTTTGTATTTTACAACTATGACGTTTAACTCATAGTTCATGCTAAATGCATAGACATAATGGAGTAAAAATGTTTCCTAAAAAAACCTAAGAATTTACTTTTCGTCACTTCACTGTGTCTACTTACAAGTATGATGCACTATTTTTTTTTTCTTTGTGACTTTTTGCCATGTTAATAGTGACGTTAGTGTCTTTCCTAATTTCCTTTCTCCTCTGTATGAAGTTACTTCATGTTTCCAGTGCTTGGGGAAGTGAGATTCAGATTGAGGGGAGCGGAGTTGAGGTGGGGCAAAGAATGGGTTTGAAGGTGGAGCAGGTGCAGGCTCTGGCCCCTGAAGACCTAGCATCACAGAAGGAAGTTACTCGCTTTACAAAGTTGTCTAGCTTTAATTTTCCTTTTATCTCATGGTAGGTGTTTACATAGGCCTCAGCTTTTGTGGATTTTGGGATTATGATGATACCACGTGGTATAACCTGACAGATACGATCTATTCCCAAATTGGAGAAGGTAATTCTTCTAACAGTGACTTCACCTACAGCATTTCATTTATATCAATGTTTGATGACTATTTCACCTTTTCCTTACTTTATAATCCATGGTGTGATTTCTTTCTTTAGAACACACAGAGCTGTCAGTGGTGGATATGGTCTTAACAAATCATTTCTTAGTTATCCTCACCTCTTTGGGTGTTTTTATAAGTAGAGATCTTCGTTACCCATCATCTTCAGTCCTAATGGTATGCGAACTGCTTTGTAATTAATAGTTAGCCTTAAATACCTTCTGTGACATAGAGTAGAAACATTGGATACTAAAGTTATGTGTGGTATGTCTTAGAACTGAAATGCTTCTTCCTTTTAAAAAATGTAAAAGCATAATATAGTAACTTCTCCCTTTGTCTTAGAGTGTTGAATATATTCTTTGAAAACGGTGCTAGTTTTATTGCTATACAAGTTTATAGTAAGTTTTAAATACGTACAGGTAGAAGACTATCTAGCTAGCTATAGTTACATATGTTCCCAAAATGCTTTAGGGTCATGTATATAAAGCTAAATATAGTATTACGAAGTGACATAAAGTAACTTTTGGAATTAAGAGAAGGGGAGTATACATTTTGGTGATGATACACAATATACATATAGTGAAATTCTTAAGCATGTTAGTAAATACCTCTCAAAAATGACCACAACAGGAATGAGTTATAAAAAAGATTTAGGAATAGTAGAAGAAAAGATAGAGGGAAGAATGAAAGGGGCAACTGTGTTGGTTGAGAAGCAGGTATCTTGTATATGTGGTAATTATTATATTACCTTTTTTCAGGTATACTGTTATTCTCAGCCTCCCCTCCTTCCTCACTATTGTCTGAGAAAGTACTGTTTATTACTCAGACAGCTGACAGATCTGGCCTCCTGTGTGTTTATCATGTGATTGCTAAGCAGGGAGTTGAAGAAACCAGGAACAGTGACTTAAGTTCAAAGTACAGAGGGCCATACACTGTGGGGGCCTGAATGGAGGGCTGGGCGGGGCAGAAGGAACAGAGAGGCGGTGATGAAGTTGATACACCGGGGCGTGTCTTCCTAGTCCCCAGTGGGTGGCAGACTTGGTGTGTTTCTGCACACTTCTTAACTCCTCTACTTAAACCCTTAAGGGAAAGCATAAATAAATTCATCAAATGGTGAGACAAGGCAAAGCCTGAAGGGGCGATCTCCAGGATATTGTATTAATATAAACAACTTAAGAAGCTGGTTCTAGTGTGATACTCCTAACTGCTGGGGTATAAAATATATCATTTCCTTTAGTATAATTTAAATTGCTGTGTTGTTATGCCTCCTCATATACAAGCACAAGTTAAAGTTTCTTGTTTTTCTTTTTTTTTTTCTTTCTAGTTTTCAAGGGCAGACTTTTGTGGTTTTGAAAGGGTAAGAAGCTTTCAATTTTCAAGGTTGGTTATAAGATGTTTCCTTGGTGACTTAAGATGAGAAGCAAGACAAGAACTTACAATATAGATTATTGCTGTTACTATATTATTTACGATTTGAATTTTAAAAAATGTATTTCTATTAACCATGAAGCAATGACCTTCTCTTCTGTTTCAAGGATAAATTGTCCCTCCTTGTTTCAAATGCTGCTTTGTATGTTTTGTCCAGGATTGTTGTGGGTGTTCAGGTGTATTCTGTACAAGGGTGCCCAGTTGAAAAGAGAGTGGGGCTGAAATCTGGCTAATGCTTCCCTCCCCAATCCATCTGCTCCCGTGCAGGTCTGTGCCTACCTGGAGAAAGTGACTCTGATTTGCACCAAAATGCCATATAAGCTAGCCACACCTCTGCTTCTAGCTTATGGGGGGAATTTTGTTTCATCAATTATCTCCTCTCTCTGTTACAAGGTCAAGTTTCATGATTCAGTAGGTCATTTCCACCAACATATAAGCAATGCTTTCGTTCGGAAATCACAACAAAAATTTTGACTATTCCTAGCCTTTTGCTATGCCTCCTCGCCATCCCCTCCTCCTACAGGCTGTGGGCACACACGTGCGTGCTCAAAAGTGAGATTGTTCTTAAAATTATAGGGATTTCCCTTTGGAAAAGACATTTTAAATCATGATTGAAGGAAGGATAGTAAGAATGGGATGTATGTGGCTGTTTGGGCAGGTAGTTGAAGGAGTTAATCCTTGATGGTTTATTCATGTACTTACTTATCCATTCTGCATATATTTGTTGAGTACCTCCTAGAGTCCATGCTTGTTTAGACAAGGAGAATTCCACAGTGAAGAAGACACAGTCCCTACTCTCCTGTAGCTTATCATTCTGTAGAGGGACATGGACCATAAACGAGCACACAAATAAATGCATAACGTGATTGTAGACAGCACTTAGGGCTTACTGAGATTAAAGCAGGTAAGGGAAACAGAATGAAGGGAAGACAATACTATATTTTAAATTGGGTGGTTATAGCAGGCCTCTCCAAGGAGGTGAAATTTAAGCATAAACTTGAATGAACTGAAGGACTGATTCTGACCAAGCATGTTCAGACAGAGTTGTAATAGTAAGTACAAAGATGCTAAATTGGGAAGTTGGCATGAGGAAAATCTGTTTAGCTGCCAAACTCTGTTTAGTGGAAATAGCAGGCATTTGGGGTTGCTTTTTCAAAGATAAAATTCTAACTTTTGTGGCACATACAATGGTCAGGGCCTTCCCTATGTTTTTCATCTTTGTCGTGCCTGCCCCTCACCTCAAGCCATCTTTTCCAGCCATTAGCTTCGTTCTCAGGAGGTTTTCTCCAATTGTTAGTAAGAATAGCTGCCCTGTTAACAAGTGATCAGTTTAGCAATCCCGATGGGAATACAGTATCTCTTTCCCAGTAGTTCCAGCAAGTCTCAGGGCCGACTCGCTGACCTGGTTTGGATCATGTGTTCATTCCTGACCAATCCTTGTGACTCTGAGTCAGACCTGGGTCATGAGCTCATCTTTAAAATAAGGGCATCCTGATCAGATTAAATTATCCTCAGATATACTGACCGGGCTGTTACCAGTTTGATTCCAGGTAGGAAAAAAGCAAGAGAAAGAAAAAGAATAAGTCAGGGCCAAATAAATATTCTATATTAATTTCCCAGATATTAAAATGGTAATTATGGCATCCTGCAGACCTGAAGATTTATGTAAGAATGCAAAGTTTCATTCAATCTAACACCTTAGCTGGAAGATACTACACCATTCAAATAAATTGCTGTCCATTCTGTTTTAAAAGCCTTTTTTTGTTTGTTCATTTAGCAGTTTTATTCACATATAATTTATATAGCATAAAATTCATCCATTTAAAGTGTACGGTTCATGGGGCTTTAGTATAGTCACAGAGTTGTACAGCCATCACCACTATCAACTTTAGAATGTTTAAAAGGATTTTAATGTACACATTGTACAGATTGTATTACTGACCCATAAAAATGTAAGCAGGTGTCCCTTTTGTTTCAACAATAATTGGAAAGTCAGAATCTTCCTATAACAAAACCATCTCAAGCTCTTGCATATAATTAATATCCAACATATACACTCTCACTTTCTTGGTAGCTTCTCTATTATGACCAATTTTTCAAAACCTGTATTTTTATGGCTTTGTTCTTACTGCTTCTTGCTGCTGTCAGGCTTCTGTGGAGACTCCTTAAGCCTACCTGCACCTGATGAAGAATACAAGATAAACATGTGACCCACTATGACTGTGATGAAAGGTTAATCGTTTCTGGTAGCTTCAAAAAGAGAGTTCAAAAACTGGAACCCCTTTCATTAACACATGCTAAGTCATGTGAAAAAAATTTTTATTCTATTTTTTTGGTCTTGTTCAAAAAGCTTATTTGTGTTTATTGTCTTCATTCTACAACCTCTTATTGTATTTACATATCATTTCTCTCTCTTCATTTGCCTCAGACATTCCTGAACTATCAATTTTTTAAGTGATTTTCCTATTTTGAGCCTTAAGTCCATATGTTGCCTAAATTAATTCACTAACTACTTATTTATTATTTATTTATATAGGTTGACTATATCAAAGGAAAACTGTGGTATAATGAAAGGTGCTTTGCAAACAGAGAACACTTTGAAGGTAAATTTTAGTTGAAGCAATATTAACAGGCTTTTTCCAACATTGATAACATCTATAGATTAAATAAAATGACATGACATAAAAATAGAATAAAATGTAGTGGTAGGTTTGCTTTGTATAAGTTATTGGCCTAAAACTAAGGGGGGAAAATTAATTTAAATCTGAGACAATAGGCACACTCTAATGGAATGGCAAGGAAACTGGTTCGCGTATGCTTAGTGATACATTGAGAAATACAGATGCTGCTTGTAATTCCCGTACCTTTATATTTTACAGTTGACTATGTTACCATCACCTTTGAAAGAAACAGGACCTTAAGTGAGGTATGGCATTGAATATTTTAAAAGGTAAGACATTTTATCGTGCATGATTCCATGGGGATTGTTACTCATCTAAAACATGGCAGCTCTGCAGACTGAAAGGCTTGACAATGACTCTTTGCTCCCAGTGGTGCCTTTACTTGGGTTTAATGGTAATTACCTAATTATATTCAATCTAAACCTACTCCATGGTTCTAGAAAAACAATCCATGCCGGAAAGGGGTGCTTTGCAGTGTCTTCTGGATTCACAGCCCCCCAGAAGAGAACCACAGACATGAAAGGTTTACCACTGTTATTTGTAGTCAGTCAGGAAAACCCAATGGTTCATTGCTTAAGAGAACTCATTAGAACTTAATGTCAAGAAGGGCATTAACTTTTCCCTTCTCTTTTTTGTAGGCAAGCTCTTGTTTTTATAGTAAAGAGCCATTTCTTGAATGGTTACCTTGCTTACCTCACATTTCACAAGGAATGAAAACTGTAATAACGTTTCTCGTTGACCAAGACCATAGCTGTGGAGTCTACCTCTTAAGTAACCAGGTAGGCCTTTCATCCCAGGGGTGACTGCTGTTGACGTGATAGTAATGAAAATTCACCAAGGCCAACACTGATTTCCCAATTCGTGTAATCTTTGGCAGCAGAAGTTGACAAAATTTGCCACAGCAAAATTATTTATGGTTAAGAATGCAGACGAAGATGCGTTAGAGATTTCTTGCCTCCGAGTGTTAATTCCGTTTGATGAAAATGGAGAATTTGATGCTGTTTGCATAGTGATTCTTCTTTGCTTTTCTCCCTGTGAACATAAGCTGAGTTAGGTCTATATAAATTTAAGGTTTCATAAAATGGTTACTTTAGAGCAGCGGTTCTCAACCTTCCTAATGCTGCGACCCCTTAATACAGTTCCTCATGTTGCGGTGACCCCCAACCATAAAATTATTTTCATTGCTACTCTATAACTGTAATTTTGCTACTGTTATGAATTGTAATGTAAATATCTTTTTGTTTTCCGATGGTCTTAGGCGACCCCTGTGAAAGGGTTGTTCGACCCCCAAAGGGGTCACGACCCACAGGTTGAGAACCGCTGCTTTAGAGGAACAAAAAAATTAAATTGTCACAGATCTATATATTCTATTCCAAAGGCTCTTTCTTCACACCAGCTGTGAATCAGAAGTTTTCTTAGAGCCATTAAAAGTACGTGTAAGCTCAGCATTACCCTTATGGGTCTAGGAGAGAAAAAAAAAATTTTTCTCTACCCTCTTTGGTTCAGTAATTGGGGCCCTACAAATTAAACTGACAGAAGACTGCTGCTGCTGAGCTGCCAACAGGTGGCAGGATGGCTCAGCTAATAAATAGATAAATAAATAAATAAATAAATAAGTAAATAAACTGACAGAAGACAGCATAACAGGAGAAAAGCAAACAGTTTATTTATGCGTACAGTGCACATACAGGCAGGTGAAAGTCAGTGATGAGAAACTCAAAATTGTGGTGAAAATTTGGGACCTACATACCATTCTTAACAGGTTAAGGGGGAGATGAGAAAGGCACATAAGGAAAAACAAATGAAAAGATAATGGGTTTACAGAGAACAAAGAGGAGATAATAAAGTTTGTGGTAATGCTTGTTTATACAGGCATGAGTGGTCTCTCTGTCTTCTTTGGGATGATAAAACTTTCATGAAGGAGGGATTGGGGTAGGTTTTATTCACATTCTCCCTTCTGGCAGTAGACCTGCCCTGAAGAAGAATTTATGGCAGCCTTATTTCCTAGAAGTTGCTGCTTTTAGTCAGATAAGGAAAGGCTTTTTTCTGCATCTGTTGGATCTCAAATGTCTTCAGCTTAAAATAATCTTTATACCAAAGTGTCATATCTTGCGGTGCCTATTCTTGTCCCCTTTAAGGTCACGATCCAACAGAAGTGTGGCCCAGGTCTCCACACTTTTAAAAAGTAGTTTGACATGATAGCTGTGAGCATGGGCACTGGAGTCTTTCTGCCAAGTTCAATCTTTCTGCTATTTATTATTGAACCTTGGACAAATTAATCTTCTAAACTTTATATTTGACAGCTATAAAATGAATGTATATGGTGGGGGAGAAAGAGTAAAGAGATATTGATGGTAGCTAATCCTTCCAGTTCTATGCTGTGTTAATGTGCATGTCTCCATCTAAATATTGTAACGTAGACTAGTATTATTAATGGAAAAATTCTTATGACTTGCTCATGCTTTATGTGTTTCCAGAAAGAGGTCACTGCCTCTGTACGCATCCTAAAAAATAACAAACCAGGATTAAAGCAAAAATTTCCACTTTTCACGTTTCCTCCCTCATTTTCTTCTCCTGTTGGAATGATATTCCATCCACGAAGCCATTTTCTGTATGCTTATGGTAATCAGGTGCGTACACGTGACGTTTCACACTCTTGTGGAGAGTGGCTCCTTCCTTTTCTCTATGCCAAGTGACGACACATCAAGTAAAGAACAGTCACTGTGATGGTCACAGAGGTGGAAAGCCCGATGAGAGAATGAGAGGAGAGGAATTAGAGACAAGGAATACAAACAAGTCTTTTGCAAATTTTGCCGGAAAGTGGAGCAGTGAAATGGGGCAACGTTGAAGAATGAAAGATGGTCAAGAGAAAAGTTTTTTAAAAAAAGATGAGAGGCATTATGCTGTGTGCTGATGGGAATTACTCAGTAGGAGGGGGACATTGATGATGCAGGAAAAGAGAGAGAGAGGGAAATTTTCTGGAGTGATGTTTCTAAATAGGTGAGAAGAGAGGAGACCCACGCACTGGTGAAGAGATTGCGCTTAGGAGGACAATTATCATCCAGTGACAGGAGGGAAGGAAGAGTTTGGGGGAGATATCGTAAGGGAAGTGTGTGGAAATTTATCTTCTCCTTTCTCAACAAAAAATCCAAGTTGTTATTTGAGAGTGAGGATAGAAGAAGAATGTTGGGGATTTGAGGAAAGAGAACAGAGAGAAATAGTTGGTGGGAGGGTGGGCGGTGAGCCGACTAAGGGGGTGCAGAATGATTGCTTGAGCTTTGTGTGCTTGAATTCAGAGTGTGACCAGTTCATCATCATTGAATGTTTTTCTCCATTGTGGGGGGTTCACACATAATATAGAAGACAGAGAGTTGTACTGAACCACAGTTGGAATTCTACCAAGAAATTATGTAGAGGTGAAGGAGTATGCAGAAGGAAATGCAATAAGACAAAGAAAAAAAATTAAGAAATTAAAGTCATGAATATGAAAAAGCAGCAAGCTATTTACTTGTAAATGGTATTTGATTGTCTATATAGAAAAATCTAGAAGATACATACAAATTAGTGAAAAGAAACAACAAAAAAGGGGAAGGAGGAGGAGGAGGAGAATTCTGTTCCTTAAAGACATCATGAGAGCTGAAAATACAAACTGGGAGATGATACTTGTAACACATCTAACTGAGAAAGAATTAAATGTAAGAATATATAAGGACTATAAGGAATTCCTACAAAGCAATACAAAAAAGACAACCTAATAGCTAACTTGACAAAAAACACAAATGGACATTTTACAGAAAAGGAAATACACATGGAATAAACATGTGCAGAGATGATATAATTCGCAGGTCATCAGGAGCTACAAATTAATATCATTTTCAGTTTAATTGGCAAAATTAATTCTGACAATACACATCTTGAAGATGTGGGTCAGCCAGATCTCTTATACATTGTTGATAGGAGAGTAATTACTACAATTTTTTAGGAAAGCAATTTGGCATTATTGTTATCCAGTAAATTTGAATGTTTGCATACCCTGTGACCCACCTATTTCACTTTTTGGCAAGGAGACCATATATATGAGGGAACAGTTTCAAATTTTCATCATGGCACTGTTCATAATAGCATTAGATAACTGAAAATAATCCAGATGCCCATGAATAAGAGAATGATAAATAAATTACATTTTATTCACATAATGAGCTATATTATACAGCTATAGAAAAGCAAATGAACTGAGCTGTATGCAAAATGCATAAATATAAGTAAATGATGTTGGGGGGAGTAAGTTCTAGAACACAATATATGGTATGATACCCTTTTTATAAAGTGCAAAAAAAGTGAAATCAAGTAATACATTATACATATGTGCTACAAGTAAAAAAAAAAGCAAGGGAGTAAAAAACAGAAATTTCAGGATATTGCACATCTCTGATGGAAGACACAAGATGATAGGATTGGAGAGAAACATAGGAAAATGTAAAGTACTAGCAGGATGCTAGTTCTCAGGTTCTGCTGTCAGTTCACAAATGCTCATTGTATTATTAAGTAAATAAATACAAGTGAGCCATGCATGGATCAGTAATTTAAAATATTTAGAAAATATGCAATGAGACGTCATTGTTTTCATTCTGGTAATCAGTTAAAATTAAAAATAGATTTTTGATAACATCAAATACTGGTAGCGTTTGGGGAAATGGATACTCTCATACACTATTTATGGGGCTATAAACTGGTTCAATGAAGCTGATGAGCATTTTGTCAGAATCTATTAAAATTATAGAAATATGCACATCCTCTGACTCAGCAGCTTCATTTTTCAGTCTCTGCTCTAGAGATACACTTGAACCTTAGTATAAAGAGAAAGGTCAATGAATGTTCATTGTT